TTATACAAAATGAAAAAATGACTTGCAGCTTAGATCAGAACACCAGATTATTTTTATAAAACCTTCCTAATTAATTACAGTGACAAATGTAATAAACGAGAACTCTATCGTCAACTTAAACAATCACAAGAAAATAAATCTCCTGTCTAGCACAAATTGATATATTGCTAATAAAATGTCATTTACTCTCATCATACGGGGTTTTATACAAATTGAGCAGCTTTGTTTTGACATCATGCAGCTTCATGGTGAATCAGCAAATTTAAGATAACTGAGGTGTAAAAGTAACCAAACTAAGAACTTTTGCCACATCAAGTGAACCTTATACAAGGTCAAGATATTTGTGCTACTGAAAGGAAAACTTGTCATTTTTGCAATACATAAATTACATGGTAGTAACTGAGGATATGGGGGCTGAGATGCACAACTGCATTCTTTCCATGGCTCTTATAATATACTCTACCCTGAGGATTTTGTGCAAGTACTCTGTAGGGAATGAAAGGCTAGAGGTCGTGTGAGCATATAATGTTCAGGGATGGTGCAAGAAATCAAATATTTCCCTAGAGAGTTCTTTTTGATTAATCAAATGACATATGTTTGTAATATCTTCAGTGCTGAATGCTTTTGATGTTTTATTCAAAAAGCCACACAATACCTCTAGGTTACACTAAAGGCACGATAACTCAGGCAGAGGCTTAGAAACATGGGATGGTAGAAAACAAGTATAATAGGGCATTTGTGTCCCTCACTGAGAACTGCATGCACAACACAGTATCTGTTCATTACTCCAGCTATGGCTGTGCAGGGCTGGAGCATGATTTAAGCAGTAAAGGTTCTCTTCCTCAGAAAAGAGGAAAGGAGAGATTCTGTCAGGTAGGTCTCCATGTCTGGATACAACAAGGCTCGGGCACAGTGTCTTAAGCAATGGCCTGAGATCGCCTGTGCTATTTAATCACTTGCACAGACTCTGCCATGGGTTTGGCCCCTGCCAGTGGGTATTCTCATGTGCCACAGACCACTTCCCAGAGGCAGTTTGGCTGTGGTTTCCCTGGTTTTGGTGGAGGGACACAAGCTGTACTGCATGAGGCAGTCCTGGGGCGAGAGGTGGCTCCTGGCTCACTCAGTGAATGGATACGGTGGTGGCTGCCTGCGGCTCCGAGGTCAGGCAGCATCTGTGCCTGTGTGACATGGCATCCCTTTGGGGGAGGCTCTTGCATGATTCTATAAGATCCTTGTATCCTTTTAGGTGTGTGCTTTGTAAAACTTTGCTATTTATCATTCTTGAGTGGTGAAGATCTCTCTCTGATCTGCCTGGTCCTGAAAATTCCCTTTTAAACTCATAACAGGGATTGGAAATACAACATCCTGGCACCTTCATTAATTTGTGCAGGGTCTCCTCTTCAACAAGACTTCTGGCAGTTGTGAGCCACATGTCACCAGAGACTGGATATGTATTTAAAATCAGATTACGTAGGTCTTGGGTTTTGACTTTGCTCCCCAGCACTGTTAAATGCTCTGGAGAGCGTCTGCAGCCACGCCACCAAAGCTCTCTCCAGCCATCAAAGCCCTCTCAGGTTTGGATTCAATTTGCAAATGTACATATGTAGCTAGAATAATTGCTGCCGTTGCCAGGCCATCTTTGGCAATAGCAATAAAAGGTTTATAGGCAGTTTCAGAGAACTGTTGCTGTCCATAAATAAAGCCATTTGTGCAACAGTTTTGTCCATACTGCTCTAAGACTGCTATGCCAAAATCCTTTTGGGACATACCTGTGGCCAGCTTAAATGTTTTGCTTGCTGCCAAGAAACCCTCCTTCTGTGGTTTTAGTATGCAGCGGGGGAGTGTTAGTAAGCCTTTGTTACTGGGTAGCCTAAGAGGAAGGCTACTACATTTTCAATCATATTAGCCTCTTAGTTGCCTTGATAAGCTCCTGTCTGGATCAGAAACCTCCCTTTACAGTATAGTTTCTAATTGCTAATGTTTATTTTTTCCAGCAGTCTCTTTCTGATAATTTTGGCCCAGATTCCAACCACGTCCTTTATCAGAACATCAATGCAAAGTTGCTGCATTCATGACCTGCCTTAGATCATCCCCATATGCTAACGTCTCTTCCTTTATAAACCCTCTACCTATGTATTTGCTTCTTTGCTTTTGCTTTATTTTTACAGAGCTCAATGCACCTCACCTTCATAGTGAGGTGCTATGAAATCACTTCTCTGCCTGTGCTAGTAGAAGATAATTTACAACCCCAAATTCCATACGGTGAAAGAAAAATCAAGTAAATATCTGAGTGTCTTCTCTTTTGGAAGGGGAAGTTCGTAATGAGAGTTTATTATTTTTTCCTTAGATCCCTGACATAAAGTTTTGTCACTGGACTGGGTACCCAGTGCTATATTGACTCAGTTCAAAGGGTCTATTGCAAGTGTTGTTTCTTCTTCCTGAAACATGCTACAGAGATGTAAGGAGAATCACCAGACCGGCTGTTCAAGGGTATTGTTCAGTGTCCAGACTTTGATCTAGAAAGGGGTGGGCTTCTAGTTTGGCAGTAAGATCAGCACACCAAAATAATTAATGCTTTGGCTGGAGAATGCCAAAGGAGGAAACTGGAAGACCTGACAACCAAGATATATTAACAAAAGCTACAAATATTGTATTTTCATTCAGTGAAAAATGCAAGATATTCTAAACTAAATATATTATCTCCAAATCCTTTTAATTAAGCTGTCAAATGCAGAAAGTATATCAAACTATGACATTGGTAACACAACAACAACAACAACAAAATCAAGGTTGGTAGTGTCTGACTTTCCCTGCAATGAATTAGGTAAGGTAGCAAGGAGCTGCCTTTCAGCAATGAGCACTCTGGACATCTTTCTGATGATACCAGTCCTAGAAGCAGCTGGATGAGGTCCCAGAGTGGAAACTTGGCATTTGCCTAAAAGCTGGAGACAATGGAAGCTGTTCCTCCTGCCACGGATGAGAAATTGGTCATATCTGTTGGCCCCAGTTCATAAGGGTGGACTAGTAGCTGGAAACCTCTGAGAAGGAAACAGACTGTGCTCGCCCTGAGGAGCGGGAAGATCTTTAAGGGTTTCAGCAATGAACACTCTGTTGTTGTTATTATCTTTTATCTACAGAAATACCCAAGGTGCTGTTTATGCCACCTTTTCCATGAAAGGGAGACAGTAAGAGGGAAGATGATCTTCTCATGCAGATCATTGCTTTTAACAACTATATGTACAGGACAAAATAGAGGACACGCTGAGGAAATGTTTCTGTGACAAATGGGCTGATGAAAAAACAAATGGATGCTTGAGTGATGTGTAGGCTGTGAGGCTGGAGCAAAAGGGAGCTGCTGATATCTCAGGAGCATGCTCAACAAATTACTCTCTTCGTAGGTCACTTCCAGGCGCAGTGCGAGTTGTGAGGGTTTAACCTATGAAATCACCTCTGGCATGGTTTTGGGGAGATACTTGCGCTATGTAAGTGATTATGTAGGAAGTCTAAATTTAGACAGGGTAGCCTGAACCCCACACTGGTACCTAGAGCATTTCTCACTTCCCACTGTGGAGCAAGTGTTCTTGTCCCAGCTCCGCATCAGAGTGAGACCGAGGCCGGCATCATACAGCCCCTGTGCCACAGCTGCTGTGGGATGCAAGCCAGGGCTTGTGCCCTAGATCGGAGTGAGGAGCGGTGAGCAACCTGGATAGCAGCCTGGTGGCTGGTACACCCCAGAAGCTCACTGTAACACAGCCAAATTTGGGGTTTGTGCATCTGAGAGGTCTCCATGGGGGAGGGTTAGCCTTGAACGATGACCTTAGCAAACACTGTTGGTTTGTCTTGTTTGCCCTCCAGGAAATGTTTATTTACCCAGGCTTTTCCTGATGAGATGTGTTGCGTAGGACGTTCTCAGCTGAGGGATGGGGCATTTCAGTTCAATGAGTATTTTGCAACCTACATGTCTGTGATAACATGTGCTCTTTAAAAGGAACCAGATACCAAAATTGTGTTTCTGTTTAATTAGTTTTACCACAATTGTTGGATGTAACATGCATGATTGCCATCACAGAAAGAATTTAAAGTTATATCTCTTTACTTGAATCAAATGATTGACATTGTACCTTTCCCATACCGTCAGGGTCACTGCCTTCTGTTGTAGCCAGTCAGTTTGTTTCCCTTATTTTCTGCCTGGGGGCCCCACAGGCAATGACAGAACATTCATAAAATGGGAAAAACGTGAATGGAGAAACCCAAATCCTCTGGGGCAGCAGTATCCTCAGAGCTGTGTGAGTGCACCTTTCAGTGCAGGACCTGTCTCTACAAGGATCAGGCTCGTCCCACGCTCTCAGCTCCTGCCTGTTGCAAGGCCATTCTCACCTGCTTCGGTAGTCCCTGCTTAGGGGTGTCACTGTCTCCATTTTGGTAAGCTTTTGTAGATGAAGATCTTTGCCTGAACAGCAGCTAGTTTAATGCCTGAGAGGACCTTAACTGGTGAATGGAGAGCAGAGAGGGGCAGCCCCCATTCCCATGGGGAGGCAGCATGTGGGAAAGGCAACATTCCTGCCTGCTGTGGGGTCAGCCTGCTATTTTCACAAAGATCCGTTTCTTCACACATTAGGAGTCCTTCCTACATCTAAAATACTTTTTAGAAAGCGATTCATAAAAGTATTACTCCTAAAAGTAATACTTTTAGAAGCAATACATAAAAGCAGCAACAGTGGTTTTGTGTGGCCAAACCCACGGGATGCATTTAGTCCATCTATGATTTTCCATAGTGATCCCCTTTTCCATTGGTCTCTCCCTATGCACTGCTGACACAAGATTTCTTATCTAAAAAAAAAATAAAAATCCCATCAGCATGCTGTTTGAAGCAGGCTGTAACTTTCTGGTATCTCTGCCCTGTTTTCCAAAACCAGGCTGAATTCACAGTGCAGGTGTGTGAGAGCCTGAGCAGGCTGGGAGCAGCACGCACTGGCAAATAAGGCAAGAGAAACTCCTACCGTCGACCACGGGTTTGGGCTGCGAGCTCTTCAGCCGCAGTGAGGGCCTGAAGCGGGTTCGGTCGTTGAAGCTCCAGCTCTTCTGGACTTTGGTTGGGCTGCCCTCGGTGGCAATGTCAGCACTTGGTGACCGGCGATCTCCAACTGAAGACTGCCTGTTCTTTATACTTTGACCTCGTGGGCTGGCCATCCGGACCCGCTCCTTAAAACTTAGCTTTTGACTGTGAGGAAGAGAAATGTATTTTATTTCATGGTTCTTCCACTTCTTTTTCATTTATTATATGATATTAGGAAAAAATTTCTAAAAATTCTCAATAGTATGAATTTGTTTCTTACACATTTTTATTTTAACTGACTATTTAATTTGTGAATGAAACTTATTTGAGATAAATGTTTTTTGATAGAGACCTTATCAATGTCAGTCTATCTTACAATACAGAATAACCTTGTAAAGGAAATTAAAATTAACAAATAGAAAAAAATTCACCCAATTATTATATATTAATTTTTTTTTCTATTCCTTGAATTTTAAATAGGTTTATTTCCATCTTAGTCAGCCCAGCTCAGTGCATTTCTGCCCATCTCTTCAGATAAGCAAGAACAAAATGTATTCTAGTATTACTGCATGCCATGTAGTATTGTCTGGGTTTTTTTAAGCAGGCAAAAATAGTTAGTATATTCATGCTTTTTCAAGATGTGTCACTTGCAACATTTCATATGCAATGTTAGTGATCACTCATATCCAGAATACCTTGTTACAGCACTTACCTGGACAAGACAAAACCAAAATTGACAAAACATCCAAGAAACAGCATGATGACCGATTAACAGAAATGTAATGATGTGCTGTGTGCTCACTAAGGTCATGGCTGGAGATGAAGCTGGGAGCTGACTGCCTGCAGGTGGTATTGGACAGGCGCTTTAGGGCAGGTATGAGAGCCAAGCTCATGACTGTGACTGCTGGATCAATGGTGGCCCTGTGGTCTTAGAGCTGGACAGTTGTAAGCTGATTTTTTTCCCCTCCTGTGCTTACAACTCTCCCCTCCAGTCAGATAAATGTGGGATATATAGGTTTTCTACCTCACAGTGCTTAAATTACCTTTGCTCATGTTCAAATATATCTGGTGAATATCCTGTGGTCACCGTGGCTATCCACCTACACTTTTTCATTATTTAACCTTTCTGCCTCTGTTTGTCTCTTCCTGTAGCAGAAGGCAGAAAGGGAAAACAGAAAGCAAGTCTGATACCAATGTTTGGAAACCCTTGTTTTACCTACAAGGTTAAGTTCAATCACTTGTACAAGGGAATGGTCATTCATCTTGATCAGTGGTCCTGTTCTTGCAAGGGGAGAGATGAAGTGAGCAATGCAGGAGCTGCTCATGCTATGATGTTACTGGGTCTTGCAGTTTTACTGCCCTGGCACAGGCTTTGGGGGGTGCTTTTAAAACACTTATAGCAAAGGCTGTCTACCTGCAAATTATAATTGTACTTGAAGTTAAGTACTCTCTTGAAGTTACTAGTACTCTCAAAGTCTTTGCTTTTAACTTCAGCATGCCCATAAAATATTTTCAAGAGAAATGAATTCTCCAGCTAATTAATACCAACATGGACTGTGTGGTTCTTCGATGTTTAACCTACTGCACTCTGAAAATTCAGTGTTAATATGTAATTATATGAAATGGAAAGTAGTTATAAAATTCTGTGTCTGTGAAATGTTGAGATAATCGGATATATTTGTCCATGCATAGCATAGCACAGCATAGTATAACATTTCATTCTGAATACAAACATCACTGAGAGCAGAAAGGATGCAGTTTGTAGCAGGCAAAGCACATGCTGGGAAGCTTATAATAAGATAATTTCAAAGAATGCTAAAAATGAGCACATCAATAGAAAGATTATTAGATAAATGTATTTCTATATGGCATGTTGAATCACTTGAAAGAGTATCTTTAGTGTAATTTCTGAATGTAATCCCCTTCTTCCCTTGCCCAAAGTAAGCAATTGTTGAAATAAACACATCATGGTGCTGGAAGTGTTATCTATTTCCATTGCAAATTGTTACCAAGACCTGCAGTACTGTGTGCTGCTGCATATGCAACACAAAAGACCCACAGAACCTACTATTTGAAAGAAAAGTGAGTTCTAAAATTTATTTTTCAATAAAAATTACATTTCAAGACTGAATTACATTTCAGCTCAGGAATCTTTTGCATTGTAAAATTTAATGAAAATATCAGCTGTAAAATATTTATTAACCACATTATTGCATTATCATACTATACAGCATGAGGAACAGAATCAAAATGGGCTACTTCTTATAGATATTGTTGCTAGGCATGTGTCCCCTGTGTTTTTTTTAACTCCTCTTATGGCTCAAATTGTATTTGCTACTGAAGCATGAAATCAGATTATATTTTTTTTTTTAATTCTTAGAGTAAAAAAGTTTTTGGACAGGTCTCTCCCTGTTACACTAATTAAGATGAAAGGAAAATTGATGAAATAGCCATAAAAATTACCAGTATGGACCATATTTTTTATAATCCCATTAACTCCAAAACAAAAATGCAAATTAAAAAAAATATGAAAAAAGCACACATGTTGTTCTGTCAATTAATTTGTACTAATGAAAGCAATGGCTGCCTTGAAATTATTTGTACACATGGTTGTTTCATTTATAAAAGCTGAATGGTACACAATGGCTACTTAACCTGAATATCTTTAGTTCTCCAAATCAAAGCAATGAGGCAATGGTGAAAGGAACAGTAGACACTTCATCTGTACTAGAGACATTTTTCAAAAGTGCAACATTGAGAATGAAAATATTAATTTAAAATGCTGACCTCATACTTAAAAAAAAAAATAATTAAAATCTGCTTTGTAGCAATGGCAATATAATGGCATGCCAAGGGTCCATGCGAAGGATGCTGCATCACAAAGAGAAATGCAGCCCCCGAAGGAAGCGTGGTTTGGAAACTCTACTCTGCATCTTAAGAGTTTCTCCAAAGACACTGGTTATAGCAGTTTTTCTCTTCTTGGATCCCTGTTCCTATTTTGAGACTGGTGGGAAATGATCCCGAAGTCACTTGGTCCTACTCAGCACAGGTATAAGTTGTAGGACTTACAGCAGTGGAGAATTCATGCCTGCGAGAAGAAAGCTGCTGTCCTCGGGAGCAGCTTAGGCCTCTTTTATATATGATAAATAACAAATCATGAAGGAATAACTGAATCAGACCATTTGGGGGGCATCCTGACCAGGCTTCTTCCCCCAGTGAAAGTCCCTTTCCTTACAGCTTATATAGTTCCTGGCTCTTGGTTCTCTGTTGTAATAGTTGGGGAGGAAGTATTAGATACAGAGTGGAGACAATCTTATGCTCTTTCAAGCATCCATGGGCATTCCGCACTTGAATCAGTGGCCCCTAAAGCCTTTAGGGCCTTTTACTCTGATTTCATGATGGTTGGATTAGCACAGCCCAGTGCTGTGCTGAAAATCCTTCACCGCTTGCAGGACCTAGCCTATTACATTTTTCTCTCTGCCCTTTTCTCCTCTCTTTTTACAAGATATCTGAAGGAAATCCCTTGGATTGATGTAAACCTATTAATGGCCATTGGAAATTAACATATCCCTCTAAGTACTTCCAAACTTCAGGTTGAATGTTGGCCCAAAAGGCAAAAACCATGAGAAAGAATCAGGAAAATGGAATTACACAAGTTCCTGAATCAAATCTAAACAACAAGAATCTGAAAGACCCACAGATGTCTTCAGTTCTCTGCATTCCTTTAGATGTGTGTCTGTCCATCGTTTCTTGTACCTTACATGACTGATAGTTTATCCCACTTGGTTTATATCCATATTTGCTTCCTATTACAGTCTTCCCTGGCAATGGTAATCTCTTTGGACCTATTGCTCCTCTATTCTTGGAGGCTGCAAGTTGTGGAATGTATTCATATCCACAACACTAGAGCTTTGGAGCATCTTTTAATGGAGATAAATTACAACTGGTACCTGTGGGAAAAAAGCAAGTGACTTTATTTGTTTGCCTTCTGGAAGGTAAGTTGTAGGATCTTCTTCTCGTCAGTACACGCATGAGCTGTTCACTTCCCTGGGATAGTAAATGACTTTATAGTTCTTAATTCTTCTTTTTTAAATTCTGTCCTTTACACCTTTGATTTATGAAGGAATAGGTGTTCAGGGACACTAGAGGTCACTGTAGCTTCATTGCAGGGGGAACGAATGCTTTGCTGGACCAAATGACTAGACTTGAAAAGATTTTGTGTTAATTGATAAATGCCTACAAACCTTTGCTTTTCTCTCCCATACTCACAGCTCTGTCTGTCTTCCATGGACTATCTTAATATACTTTTTGGCTAACTGAGCATCTTTTTGCCTCCAAGTCCCACTTCCCTATTTCTCTGGCTACGTTTGTTCATTTCTGGTCAAGTTCATCTTCTGCCCTGCTTCAGCTGCAGACCTGCAGCACTACTGCTTGCTACTAGTCGCAACATACAATTTGTTTTTCAGCTTTTCATACTGAGCTGACTAGTGGAAGCAGTAGTGGGAAGAAATTGAAATGAATCAGAAGTAACTGAAGGGCCTGAAGGTGAGGGAGAATGCTTTGGATCTTGAGTCAAGACAGAAGCTAAAACTGCTAAAAAATATCACAGAATCATAGAATAGTTTGCGTTGGAAGGGACCTTTAAAGGTCATCTAGTCCAACTTCCTCCTGCAGTGAGCAGGGACATCTTCAACTAGATCAGGTTTCTCAGTCCAGCCTGACCTTGAATGTTTCCAAGGATGGGGCTTCTAAACCACCTCTCTGGGCAAAGAGTTTCACCACCCTCACTGTAAAAAATTTCTTCCTTCTGTCTAGTCTAAATTTCCCCTCTTTTAGTCTAAAACCATTTCCCCTTGTCCTATTGCTACAGGCCCTGCTAAACATCACCCACCGTAAACAACAGCAAGCAAACTTGTGCCAATTTTTAGCAGACAATTTCCAATAAATACAGATGTTGATTCTTACCAGGCCTTCAGATGACTTCACTGAAATTAAGCTAAGATGAACAAATACAAATACAACAGATAGTACAGTGAGGCCTGAAGTACAAATGTTCAAGACTTCTCCACCAGTCTCATGGTAGGAGCGTGGACCCAAGAAATGTAGTGTTACATCTCATACCTTCAATGAGTAATAACAAGAATTTCAGGGATGTAATGACTTAATGTTCAATTGTCAAATAGAAAAAAATAAATTATGTTCAGGGGTTTTGTGTATTTTTTCCTTTTCCAAAACATTTTCCAGATGAAGATAAACTACTTTTTTTTTTCTTCATTTTCTATCATCAGTTTGTACTTCTGTTGTCTTTTAAATTATTTTTTAAATGTAAGGAAAAAAAATAATAAGCTTGAGTTATAAATCAAGAGTTTCTCCCCATAAGATCCATCCATCTAGGAATTACCATTTTTGGTAAGAGACACAATTTCCACAGAATTCAGCTGAAGCAGGTGGTTGATTTCACATGCATTCCTCTACCTTCCAGTACAGGACACAGGCACAGCTTTCACAGGCTGTGTCCAAGGGGATTCTTCTCAACAACAACAATTGCACATTTTGACTGTTGATATTGTCTAGCATGTTATAGCTTAGTATTCCCCACTAATTACTAGATGGAAAACTCAACTGCTGTAGTTATAGAAATCCTCTTGGACTTGGGGAAATATCTTTACCCAAATATTCAACCCCAGTTTCAGATCTCCACAGGGTAAAACATTCCAAAAGTTCAAGTCTCAGGCAGAGAAGGGGAATTGGGCTTCGGCAAACGGTGGCGTGCTGCACACTGCAATTGTCTGGCCAGATGAGTTTCAAAGAACTGGTATTACTAACATTGTCTTCATGTCATTGCAGGCAACAAGCAACAAGGGAATTACAAGCACTTAAAAAAAACCCAAACCAACAAATCAAGAATCCTCCTTTGGAGAAGTAAGGAACTTTAAAGCACTAAGGAGGGGAAGTAAATGAATCATGCACCTGATGTTAGTCAGCATTCTCAAACATCATGTGAATAGGCAGGATGCTGAATACCTATGTTTCCGAGGGGTGTACATCCTGAAGAGCTTCTGTTTATTACTACAAAGCTTACTAGGAGTGAGGGGAGATAGAGGACCATGTTACTGAGCATTCCACTGGTAGGTAAGGGGTTAGGCTCTTTCCACCTCAAGTTAGATTCTGCAACACTGGCAATTTCTTTTTCATACGGTGCATGCAGAGAGTTTATGTTAAATCTGTTTTTAGAAATAGATATGATATAGGAGGTGGAGAGAATTCCAGAGTACAATTTACTTGTTTCCCTCAGAGCAGGGATGAGTGTTTCTCCCAAGCTCCTATACTGGCAAAACTCCTCCTTATTGCACCAGAGAGAGTTGTCTGAATAGGGAATTCAAATTCAGGCTCACTAGTTGCAACACTAGACGGGTGATAATAATTCTTTGCAGACACCCAATGCATGTCCTACACACAGCTTAAGACTGCTTATATTCTCAGAATGTTGCAAGATTCATCAGTCTTGATCTAGTTTCCTGCACGGGAAGAATTTCAGTCACATCATATAATTGAACAGAAATCAGTGTGTGCATTTGTAGATATGGAGAATTTAACATATAGGCTTTTTAAATGACTTGCAGAACTCTAGAGCTGATTTATAGAAATTTCTCATTTACAGCATGGATACACCAGAGAGGTTGTCTACCATTACTTTTGATAAATGATTAATTAGAATACTTGTAATACATTGAGGAATACCACATATATATTTTTCTTAAAATCAGTATGAAGCTACAGCCCCATAAGCACAGCTCTCTCAGCTCAAATGCACAGCAACATTGAGTTACTGAATGAAAGACTATATGTCTATACATGACAAAACACAAGAATTCATTTCTATAAAGTAATTTTGGTAGGAAAGAAAATAATTCACTTTTACCTAAAGTAATAAAAGTTTTTCTCCACTGTTATTAGAATGGAGTACAGAGCAAAGAGCATATTCAGAAACAATCCAATGCACTACTGCAAATACATCTTAATTTAAAGAGTGAAACAAGAAGCAGCTTACTTAGTTCACATAGCATCCCATGCAAGTCACTCAGCATAGCAGTAAGAAAGAAGTTAAATAGTCGAGGACAGTTATCTCAAAGTATGTTGCAGCACTTTGCATTTACATCTTTACCACAAAAGACCACTTACACCACATGTATTTTAAATGATACAAACATATAGCAATATATCAGCTAGGAACAATAAAACAGCCACCAACAAAACACACCTTTTTTAAAAGGCACTGAATGGTCTGTAGGGTTTTTAACTGTAGACCAGGATCTCAGGAGTTAACTAGTTAATTTTCATACCTACACTAATTTGCAACAGTGCACATATTAGTTAAGAGTCTCGAAAGGGACAAACATCTTCCATTCAATGAAAATAAAGTGAAAAAATCTGTCTAAATCATTGACTGCTTTTTAAAACCACAACAGTGACCTTTAATATGGAGCATGTAATACAGTTTTGACAACTGGGTTTTTTCTTTTTTTTTTTTCATTTAGCTTCTACTTATTGCAAGTAAATTTGTCTCTTTAAGTGCTCACAGGTACAAATGGGAATAACCTCTCCCCTCTGCATAAATCACTATTTTGGAGGTATGTACTCATTTACTGCCAGCTTCAGTCTCATCTTTAAAAAAGCTGAAGTCAGTTTTAAATGTTGCAGTTAAAGGAGTAGGAAATATGTCTGGCAAGTGCAAAAAGTTTTGATCAGGCTGTAATAATTTAATGAGATCAGTATGTTGCTAGCAAGCCTATGCAGGTAATGTATATGAAAAGTCATAGAAACGACAGAGCAGGTGAAGTGCTCATGGGGAACATCTCAGAGCAAATCCAGTCCCCTTAAGTTACTGTGACACTAACAGAAGTTATGTGCACATTGGGGAAAAGGATGGAGTCAGGCACCAGAGGAGCAATCTGGAAAGTGGAATGGGACATGGGTAACTGATGTGAAGACTTTCCACCCCCGACTGAATAACCCAGAAGACTTCTTTGTGAACCACAGTACAACTCGGGGGCTGATGTATTTCAGGGGTTGATGTGTCACCAACACTTCTTTTCTTGGCTTTCATTGTTTTCTGCTAGGAGGTAAACTCCGCCATTCTCTGTGCTGATACGGCAGTGCTGGCTGCCAAACGCCTGCAGACTCCCATCCCTAATGAGTTTCGGAGGTAGTGTAATCTCTCTTTTGTAGCCACTGAGGCCTTTCTTGTCCCTAAGGATTCAAGCTCTTAAGTATGGCAAAGAGCAGCACTTCCACTTAGGACTGTGCATCTCCAGGGCTTTATTTATCCCAGGAGGACAGCCCTGCCAAGGCCTGCCTCTGTGTGCTGTAGGCAGCCAGTCCTCAGCCAACATCCAGGTTGGGTGGAAACACCACCTGCCCTCCTGAGGGGGCTTATTTAAGGAGAGATGCCAGGCTACCTTCTCTACCCAAACACGGCCATGCGAAAGCACAAACTGTGCTGCCGGGAGCAGGTGAGCCACTGCCGTGGTGCTTTCCCCCTACCTGCCGTGTCATAGAATCATAGAATTGCAGAATGGTTTGGGTCAGAAGAGGCCTTTCAAGGTCATCTATTCCAACCACCCTGCAGTGAGCAGGGACATCGTCAACTAGATCAGGTTGCTCAGAGCCCCATCCAACCTGACCTTGAATGTTTCCAGGGATGTGGCTCCTACAATCTCTCTGGACAACCTGTCCCAGTGTTTCACCACCCTCATTGTAAAAAATTTCTTCCTTCTGACTAGTCTAAATCTCTCCTGTTTTAGTTTAAAGCCACTTCCCCTTGTGCTATCGATACAGGCCCTGCTAAAAAGTCCCCCCACAGCCTTCCTGTAGACCCCTTCAGGTACCGGAAGGTCACAATAAAGGTCTCCCTGGAGCCTTCTCTTCTCGAGGCTGAACAGCCCCAACTCTCTCAGCCTTTCTTCATAGGAGAGGTGTTCCATCCCCAAAACGCTCTTTAGGAAGGGATGGCAGGAAAGTTGGAAAAATGTGGAGACATGGCACTGAGGAAGCCTTGAGGATGCTCCTGCAGGGCATCATGGACCCTTGCCGAGGTGACAGCCAGCCAGCACCGTTGAGGGCGTCCTCCCCTGGTGACAGGGGCTGATGGGCTGGTTCACAAAGCCAAATTCAACTGCACGCCTGTAGCTTTCACTGTGATTCCTGGAAACCTTGAGCATCGATTTTATGGCAGAATCCAGGGGACCCACCCTTGCCCAGGAGCTGGGTCTGTGGAGGCTGCTCCACTTGCTTCTCTGCTGCTGTTCAAACTGAGCTCCCCCTCCAAGTTAAAAAGTAAAAGATTGCCTAGTTTTTCCATACAAAAACTGTGACAAAGAAGTAAATTTCAACAGCTTTAGTCTATCAATATGAATTCAAAAAAATGCAATTTGTGATTATTATCAGGTAACAGTTACAGAACCTGAAACATCTAAAAGCCATTAAGAAGCATCGATTTCACAGATAAAATAAATAAAGAAACTACAAACCTGCTAGAAGCTTCCCCTTGTTCTTTTCTTCAGGTCAGGGAGTGGGAGGGAAAAATATACTTGTTATGCAGATAGTAATCACATGACTTAGTTACAGATGATGTTAGACACATGATAAACGTAAATGGATATGTTACTTAGCGTACAACACACACATTACATTGCAACCACAAAAACATTCAAGCAAGACTTGTAACTATAATGCTTCCGAAAAATAAACTTTTCAGTTGTTTTGATACATGCATAACATGCTTAGTACATACCACTGCAGACTGAGTTGGCAAAGCACTTAGGCAAAATGCATTGCTGACACATATATAACAGAAAGCTGTAGGCTCTTATTAGATAAAGTTATCTCTGGTAAATAAAAAGGTTTAATTTTAGGATAGCACAGCAATATGCTTATTTAAAATAACAAGTAGATACACTTTTGAGGGATAGTCATATTTGACAATATTTTAGGTGGAATACAGCTTCATTATTTATATAATTTTATATCCATCCATTTATACCAATGTTGCCTTCAACCTGTTTGTATATGTGAAAAATCAATATTCCATGTAACTTTTAATCTAAAAGCTCCTTTTAGTTTGGAGCATTTTGGAATTGCAGTTATGGTAATGGATTACTTGTGGCTCTGTTCTTGTCAACTCTTTGAAATTCAAAGATCAGCTTTGGGTACCCAGCCAAACCTTTTTTTGGCTGAGTTTTTTGGCACACGATTACCTTTTTACTGTCATGTGGATGTTCATCACCCATCTTTGAGAGAAACCACTAATTCTCTTGCACTGTCTGCAATAACAACAGTTAGGATGCTTATCAGAGCTTTCCCATAAGGCTCTTAGCACTCTCCTTTTTGATTTTTATCGAGTATCTTTTCCTTCCTGATTTGTGCCCCATATTGAATCAGTCAGCTTACTACATTCTGGTAAATCTTTTACTAAACTATTGAAGAGTCTTCTGCTGCCAATGTTCTGTGAATTCTCACCCAAACTAGCACATTAAATATTCCCTCTCTGCCAAAATGTGACAGCAGGTCCTTTTAGTCATGTTCCACTGACTGTGCCTATAAGCAAGGATATAATTTGCCCTAAGTAAATACTGAATACATCAGAATTTATGATGAAAAGGAGAAAATTTCCCAGTGCATTCACCTGCAGAACACCATAAGGCTCTCTTCCCTTAGAAAGGTAGATCTGTTGCTATAGCCTTATACAGAGGGACAGGCATAAAAATAGCATTAAATCAAGGAACAAGCTTTGCATTAAACTTAATATTTTCTTCCTTACAGATAACTTGGAACTGGGTGAAATATTCACCTTGATATATGAGTGGGTTTTTGGAAAAATATTTCTAATGCCTGTGGTCAGTGATATTTCTTAGATAAATGGTAATGATTTGTATTTGTCCCACTGTCCTAGGCTCCTAGATAGTATTGATCTGATTTGTTAGTTGAAATTTTTAATGAAGACTTAAGAAGACAAAACAAGACGAAACAGACAAATAGTAATTCTCTATAAGCTTGAACAGACATTGAGAACAGCACCAGCTGCCATATTTGTACCTACTTTGTAGGGCTGCAGGTATGCAAGGCCTTCAAATGAGGCTTCCAGGTAGCAATGGAAACCGATTTCTCATCAGCCGCATAACTACGCCATACACACTACGTGCAGGATATATGGTAAAAAAGAAAAAACAAGGCAAGAGGGAGCAGGGGATGAAACAAAAAATTGAAAAGCAGATTAGTAACCAATACAAGTCATGGCTTTCTTTTATCATTCATAGCACTGATACATGCCTGAGGGGAGGAAGAATACTTTCATAATATCGCCAGGTGGCTGTCAGGTTTGTTCGGCTGGCGTCGGTAGAATAAAATCGCCAAGAAGCCTGGTATGGGGAAACAATAGAAAAGCACAAAGGAACCAAGAACATGAAGTGAAAATGCCACCGCACTGATTATGGAGAGAGGGGATTTTGTTCAGATTGAGATGTTCTATTAGGTTGATGAAGGAAATACCAGTAAAAAAACTACCAAAACTTTTGTGAATCACAGAACACTTTACGTGGTAAAGTAAGAGTTACTGGCTTTGTGGAAACACCAGAAGATATTCAGCACATAAAGGTGCTGAAGTGAAACACAAAAAGCATTGCAGTGATTTATTTGTGACAAGTCCACAAGGGACACCCGCACAAACTTGCAGTCTGAGGTAAAGAAAGTGTTGTAATACATTTTGTAAATGATAATGAAAACCAGACAAAAAGCATTCAGAAGAAAATGGAAGTATTCTCTGTGGTTTGAAATGCTGCTAAATGTTTTAAAACACAAAATAAATCATTTCAAAGGTGAGTGACCGAAGCATAGCACTGAAAATGTATTCACCATTCAGATTTATAACTCCATGTAGATAGTAAGACAGATCCTTGGTTTTACAAACTGGGACAGCTTCCCTGATGTCAGCATAACTATATTCATTTGTACTAGCTGAGTATCTGTGCTTCCTGTATATTGTCAACCATTAAATGTCATCCAGGTATTCTTGTATGGAGACTAATACCCTGTGTTTTCCTACTGCATATCTCCCAGAAATACATCTAGTCTTCATCTATAGATGGAGTATCTGTCACTTCCTTTGTAAATTTTTCCACTGGTTGATCATCCTCATCGTCAAAAATCTCTGCATTATTTTTAATTTGAAACTCTTTAGTTTGGGCTTATAGCCAGATATATTTGTTATGTTTCTGTCTGCTACATTGAATAGTCTTGTAGGTTCCCCTACTTCCTCTCTGGACTTTTATGTTCAAATAACATTAATACTGAATATTTCTTATAAACTAAAGGTATGGAGAAACATTTTAATTTTCTATAGTGGTATCTTAGCTATCTTCAACTCAGGTAAAGGCTCTAGCAAACAGTCTATCTATGGCAATAGAGGAGTTAGCACAGACTAATTCTACAAAGTAAACGATTAGTAAATAGACATGCTGATAAGCTAGAGCATACTGATTTCCATGGTAATTCATTATCAGTATTCACAACAGACAATTTAAAAAAGTCTGGGCACTGTTATAGTAGACAATGATATGCAGTTCAGACACATTTTGAATTTATGCACACAAAATTTTCTTCAGTCCTGGTCTCTTTTTTTCACAATGTTTCTTTGCTTTCTCCAATTTTCCAGTCTCATTTACAAAGAGTAGATGCTGAGTTGATATGTAGCATGTTGGTATCAGCATCACCATACAGAGTGGTAATATCAGCCTTCTCCTCCTTGTTACCTTTCTGGTGCTGTATCTAAAGACTGTAATAAACCAACTGGAATAACGTACTGGGAACTTGTATGAAGCTCTTCTTTCCCTCTCTTTCTCCTCTACATTTCTCATCCTTTGTCAAATCCTTTCCAGGGTCACTAATGCTGGGACAGGGGCCTCTTGTAATAGTCTGAATTCATGGTTTCTAGCTCAAGTTTTGTATTTGGTGTATTAAGTCATTCGGTAGGAATCATTCCACCCTATAAAATCACCCAGATCATCCTCAGGTTCATTTCCATGTGCCTGCCCTCCTGTTTCCTATTCTGCCAGGCCTTGTGCCATTGGCAAATACCTCAGTCAGTAATTTTATATTAATTTCCAGATCACTGAAAATGCTGAACATGAAAATTAATATGTAAATGCTGAACAGCCTTCATCATGGGATCTCTCCACAAATGTCCTCCTTTCTCAATGATTTTGACCACTGAAAGTTACTTTCTGAAATCAGTCAGATAGCTACTCTTAATCTATTTAGCATGCTGTCTTACTAATATTTTGGTTCAACTGTCATACAATAAGAAGAGCTACATCCAAAAACCTCAGTCTATTGTGTGTTTCCTCTGGTAATCAAACTTGTAAGCAGATTAGGTTATATGTGTTATAAAATGTCCCAGACAGTCATTCTACAGTACAAAATATGCAAAAGGAGTGGATTTGTATTTAGTAATTATTAAAATAAATATTAAATCTCAAATATTTAGAATTTAATAATCATTGAACAGTAACAATGGAAAACATTTGTTAACTTTAAGAATGCTTCAAATACAGCCTAGCATCTATCTTGAACTTGGGATTCCAAGAAAATAAACTAAGATGCTGGAAGATTATTTATCCCTTTTTTTTTTCAGTGCATCAAGTAGAGTAAAGCTTGGTGCAAAATCATTCTGTAGAGGATTTTCTCATTTTTAACTAGGACTGTAAGTTAAGGAAAAAACCCATATAGAATAGCTGTTTAACAAACATCATGCCACTTTTGCTTAAAAAATATCTTTCTCCATCGTTAATCTGAATCATTGTGTCAATATTGGAGCTGAAACCACTTCAGACAATTTCAGATATTTTGGAATTGCTAGCGCCTACATTTCCAGCTTTTGAATTGACTAGTAGTGAAAGGAATTATCTGGGCAGGACACTTTTCATTTTCACCAAATATATCACTCATTGGAGCACTCTAAACCCTGTAGTAGATGAAAAGTAGCTTAATATAGGCAGGAGTGCTATGCTGTCAGATGGGTTGTCTAGGGATCAATTCTATTTTTCTACGTAATTCACTAACTGCAGGCATTCAATTGACATCCTTGACTTGGTTTCTTCAGCATGGATAGAAGAACTCAAAAACTATGCTATATACACAATTATGGCAACACATGGCAATCACTGAACAAACTTATTTAATGAAACTAACCAATCTGTTAAAGATTATTTCCACAAAACTTTCCCAATTGAAATAATAAAGCTTGTTCCAATATGTACTTTAAATCACCTACTATTATTTTTTCACTGATTTCATATTTACCTGAATTAGACTGGCAGCTGGATTCCTTCTTTTCTCAAAGTGTTTCTGACGATGCTGTTCCTGCACTTTTAATGCGAATCCTGAGCCAAGGATGCCCTGCAATACAATATGCCATTTATAGAGGTGGTTTCTTCAACAAATGTACATAATCGACTACAAAGATTTTGTGGAGATGTTATGCCATATGTTTGCTTCAGATAACACATTTATGACAGTATATGACAGGCTAAGGCTTAACAACAGTGCCCCTTTCATGGTGAGGCAGGGGACTCCTTACTTAAGAGATAACATCAGTGGCGCTACTCATCCACCACTCATCCCAGTCATTGCTTGGGTTTGTGCTATACTGTTTCTGCAACTCTAAAGGCCATGGAGATATATATATATATATATA